AAACTTGGGTTCGAGTATGAATGACACGTGTCATATATGATTATTAAAGAAAGTTGAGTGTTTTACTATGGATCAATTTGGTTAATAACAAAAAAAAAATTAAAACATAAAAACTAACTAAAAATTCTAAAATTAGTGGTTTGCATAGTTATTATATTTTTATTATTTTTTTAGTTATATTTGCCAATTTCTTTTTTACTATTGTGCTTCCTTAAAAAAAAAAAAAGGGGAGTGTTTTACTCCTCACGTTTTAACCCAAAACCAAACCAAAAACTTTTGTTATGGGTTTTCATAACATAGCCCAAACCTTTTATAACTTGAGAATAAACATCGACAAACCCTAATCAAGTGAATCGTCACCTCCGAATCGTCGCCCCCGTTGAGATTATGGGTCCGTCCGAACCAGTGTTCCCCATATCTTCAAACACATTTAATTTAATTTGATAAGTATGTAAAACCAGAATTATTTTTACAACCAAAAATTGCAATATTCTTTTTTTTTAACAGAAATTTTTGTTTTTTTTATAAAAGAAGAAATGTCTTCTGTTTTTTCAAATGTTAATATAATCTTCTTTCTTTTTAACTTTTGCAACAAATTTGTTAAAACCCGCTTTGTAATCTTCGGAATACTAAAATGAGTTTTTTGACTTCTTGTTGCAAATATTTTGACTGTATTTGGTTTTGAATAATTATTGACTTTGGAAAATTAAATACAATCATTGACTTTATAAAATCTTAAAACCTATTTGTCACTAATAACTTAAAGATTACTTTAAAAGGCGTAAAAGGAGTGTAATAAATATCTATAATATTAAAAGAGAAGTATATTTAGGAGAATATCCAAAATTGATTCTAATATTACTCAAATTGCCATTGTTTTATAACTANATTGATTAAATTGAAAAGNGTAATTTTGAACTAATGNAATGGCAATTTCAGTAATTTTGAGTACAATTTCGGCTATTTTTATGTTACGAATTAATTGCATTTTCGTTTTTATTTTTNAGGCACATTAATGGTATTTTTGTTATTTAAGGAAAGTTTTGTAAAATCAGCATTAATTCACAAATATTTAATTACCAATCAAATTTTTTTAAAAATATTTAATATC